CCTGCTGTTACTTTCTTGTGTGTGCTGTCCTGGCACTTTCCCTTCCTTAGTAACAATAAAGCCTTTTATGCCGTTGGTTTCCGTCTTACACCACTTTGTGCTGTTCCTCCTTTCGTCCTCCCTCCCTCGCTTTTGCTTTGCTTTCTCCCTCTCCCTCTCCCTCTCTCTCTGGTGGGCTGCTGCTGCTGCCCGGCTTTCCCTTTTCTTTTCTTCGTCGATGTGGTGGCAGACGGACCGCAAGTGACGTGGCCTCTGGAGAATTCGCCTGCGCACCGGATGTAGGCAATAGCAACAACTGTTTTTCTTCTTCCACCCCTCCACCACGACGAACAGTAAACCACAAAGAGACAAACAAGCACAAAAGAGAGAGGGAGAGGGAAAGTGTTAGCAATAATAACTCCTCTATGAATCTCCCGCATGCACGCAGCTCTCTGCGTGGGGCGCAGAAGGGCGCGGGGGATGCTTGCATACAAATACAGCTATGCGTATGTAAACCCAAATGCGCGTCTCTCTCTCTCTCTCTCTCTCTGTGTGTGTGTGTGTGTGTGTGGCCGCTGGGGACACACCTCGCCACTATGGCCGGCTCCCTTCCCCCACCCGTTTGCTGTTTTCTTCGTTCTTTCTTTCCTTTTGTACGTCGTCCCCCCTTAACCCCTACCCCTTCTCCGTTCTCTCCCTTTCCCTCGTGTGCTACACACGCACACACACACCCTCTTCTATTTCTCGCCGTCTGCTCTTCGTGTCCACCACCCACCACCACGCAGAGAGAGCGCAGACAATTTGGGGCGGGAGAGCCGGGGTATCACACAGGCAGCGCACCGACCAGCAGTAGCAGGCATGATGCGCACAGAGGTTCATGCCCACAACACGGACATTGCAATTCCTCCCGTTCCCTCTGACGCCGGCATACACACCCACACCCACACACACATACACATACACACACACCAGAGGTGGGACATGCTGCTGCTAGCTCAACATGTAGAGGCGCAGCGCGTGCAGGCCCCACCACGCACCCAACAACCCTACTGCCCCACAGACTGCGATGACGCGACGCCGAATACGCCGCTGCTCCGGGCTCTCACGCTCATAATAATACTCTGCCGCCTCCTTCGTTGTCTTGAGGATGCGCTTATCGTACTTCTGCCGCTGCTGGTGCTGCGCCACCTTCAGCCGCGGCGACTTGACGTGCAGCGCGGTGGGGGAGAGGTCGTCGCCGGTGAAGTAGCTGCGTGCCTGCCGTGCCGCGGCCTTCTCCTGCTCCCGACCGTAAATGTCATCCTGCGCTGCCTGCCGCATCTCGTCGTAGCTCTCCTCGCCGAAGTTACGGTCGTACTTGCTGCCGTAAAGTATCTGCTGCTGCCGGAACGGCATGCGGTTCTCCAGCTCACTGCTCAGCTTCTCGAAGCTGCGGTCGAACTTACCGCTGGGAGTGTGTGCTGGGTTCGGCTTGATGGTCTGCGGCCGCAGCAGCACCAACGTGCTGCGAATGCCTCCGCCTGCCCAACGAGGCGGCGCTGGACGAGTCGACGGGGCGAGCAGACCCCACGGCGGCCACACGTGCCGAGCGACGGAGATCCTGCTGCTGCTGCTGCTGTTGCTGCCGTGTCCACACAAGCCATGCGTGCAGCACGACCGCCTTATCCCAGAGAGTGACATGTGGCCCGGCGGCACACGCTTCCACCCCCCCTCCCCCTCCCCTCCCCTAGCCAGGCAGACAAACACACACGAAGTCTACACTAACAAGGCGAAGGACAAACAGGATGTCCTTCACGGTCTTCTCCCGAGCGCTGCGCCCCTTTGCTTCGCCTGCCGCCATCGCCAAACGGAAGAAAAGAGAAGCCACAACCAAGAACAAAGAGATGCTGCCGCCAGCAGTGCTACGCGAGCAACGTTTTGACGAATGCTCACACCTGCACTCTTCTCCCAGCGGTGGTTGTCCGATATTCTCTTTTTTCTTTTCTGCCGCCTGCGCGTTGCAAGCCTTCTCACAGCCCTGCTACCCCAAGGACAAAGACACACACACACACACACACACACACAAATAGACAAAAGTAAGTACAAACGCAACTTCCCACCCATGCACTCATTCTATCTCTCATAGCTCCTCACTGAAAGAAGAAAAACAGGAAGAACATGAAGAATATGGCGCCGAAGAAGGTCACACACAGCATGAGGGTCTTTGCGAACCTTCTGAACCACTGCCGCCGATGCTGCCGCTGCTGGTAGCGGTACAGCTGCGACGGCGACATGGCGTTAATCCGTGCAGCCTCCTTCGCGTTCTTTGCCTCTATCGCGTCCAGGTCGTGAAGGAACTTCCGAAATTGCTCTGGTGGCATCGCACGGCGCATTGTGTCAATCTCGTTCGCCAGCTCACGCGACGTGGCCTGTGCGGCCTTGTAGGCCAACTCGCGTTGGTACTTCTCCAGCCGCGCCGCCAGCTCCTCACGGGAAACGCCAGGAATCGTGTCGGGGAGCCGTCTTGGGTCAATGCTAAACTTGGAGGAGGAAGGATGCGCCTCATCATTGCTGTTGCTGCTGCTACTACTACTACTACTGCTACTGCCGGTGGTGGTGGCGGCGGCGGCGGCGGCCACGCAGCGACGCCATGTGTAAAGCGCACCGTAGGGCGAACGAACAAGCGAAACGTGTGCTGCACGGAGTAGCGGACACCGTCGGGCGCAGGGAGACATTTTCCTTCCTGCGCTGCTCAGGACCCCTGGTACACCACACAGGAAAAAAGCACACATACGGAAGAAAGCCAGGAATAAACAACACAAAAAAAAAAATGAGCGAAAAGGAGGACGCTAAGATAGCCCCGAGGTGTGATCTTCGTGGAAGCTTCAAACCATTGGTTTCCCCATCTTCACTGTATTATTCTGCCCACTGCACCACACACACCTCTCGCCTCCCTAGCAGAAATTCGCAAACTTAAAAATAAACTTTGTAACGCGCGCACTCTTTCATGCACCTCCCTCTCAGGGGGGCTTTCCACATCCGGAGCGTCACTCATCCTCCTCATCAGGCAGTAAGTGCCCAACAGAAGGCCACCCTGATCCAGGCCCCCCGGTGCCAGAGGTTGGTGCAGACGGCACCCGCTCCTCATTACCCGGCCACCTGGAGATGAGCTCGGCAAGCAATTCTCTGACTTCTGTCGCGCCGCGAATTCTGCTGCTTCCATCCCTCATTTCACCTTCGTCCAGCAACGCGTAGCGATGTTTCACCCCGCTTTCGTCGTCAGTCACCCACGGTGTGAAGCCTTCAGTGCCACACTGCGTTCTCACGCGGGTGTCAGCAATGATCTCCGCCAGAAGCTGTGTCTCGCTGTCCTTGTAGAGATGACTCATCCGATTCGGGACACTGGTAGGTTTTAGCATCTCCATCGCTTCGAGGAAGTGGCGCCGAATTCTTCCACCTCGTTGTGCATCTTCGAACAAGTTGTGCTTCGCACGTATTGCGGCAAGCCTCCGCGAGTGTGCTTCATAGTTGGCATCAGGCGTGAGTTGCATCTGCTCCATCCCCCCTCTTGGCGCGTGGAATGTCTTTGTGCACACAAAAGCGTCCTGACGGCTTTTGCTCGGCTGCTAAGTGCAACAGTAGACCTTAGCTAAAAGAGAACCAAAAGGAATTGAAAAGAAGATGCATGGTTCATTTCGGCGTGGAATATGCTGACGGACCCCCTTTCTTCCCCGCGATACTGCGGGTGTTCCCACGGAACCTTTGCGCTGCCGAACCAAAGTATACAGCCCAATCATTGCGATGCCAACGTGATACATCAAAGAAAGAAAGAAACAAACAGGGAACGTGTCATGAATGCCCCTCCATCCACGTACCCGCGTGGCTCACTCGAAGGACGCTCAAAACTATGCTACTGCTGCAGTTAAGACGGCAGTTTCCGCTGGATCGCCTGCACTGCGGAGGAGGATGGCCCACCTAACGCTTGGGAAGGGGACGAGTCGGTCGCCAAGGGTACCAGTCGCGCAACCACCCTCCGGCGAGGTGGCAGGGCCGAAGTGTTCAACGCACCGACTGGCAGCTGCTGTTGTCGTTGTGATTGAAGTGACCGTCTTCTATTTTGCCCCGCCACTGCCACTTTTGTGGGGATTCGTCCGTTCCGGTTACCATCTTCCACCGTCTTGCGCGGCTCCACCACCACTGCAGGAGTTTGACTGCCGACACATTCCCCAGCACTGTGCGCCATCGCTGGCTGTACGCACTGGAGGTCGTAGCGCTGCCACGCCTCGCGCAGTCTTCCATCTAGTGTAGCCAATGAAAACTCCTGTTCGCCCTCCTGCAGCACAGCTGCTGCAGGAAAGAGTTGTGCCATCGCCAACGCCTCCTGCTGACTTGGCGCGATAGGACAGATCGCTTGCAGAGCGAGCATGAAACTCGTCACCACGCCCGTGTCTTTACAACCGCCAGCCAGCAGCAACTGGCGGTACCGCTCAAGCAATGAGGGCCGCCCATCCGTCACGGTGCTCAGCAGTCGATAGGCAACAAATGCCTTGCGCCAGCGAAACCAGAACCCGATTGAAGACTGCTCAGTACGACATTGAACTTCTGCAATCTTATGTGCGTTCTCCCGCTCCGCCATTACAGCTCGCTGCGCCGCCACACCCTTCTTTTCCTTTCTTTTGGCGTTTTGTGTGTCGGAAAAAGAGTCACCACCCGTCTGTTCCCGCTCCGGAGGCGCAGAGGCAGTTGCAGCCTCCACGTCATCGCGTGCACGCGCCACTACCAAGTCCGCAGAGACGCTGCGAAACAGCGTCCGCGTGAGCACCATCCACATCCGCATCGCCGCCGGCGGCAGGAGTGCCACATCCGTGACGCGCTCCCACCCTGGCAGCCCACCCTCCACCGTTGCCGTGTCATTGCCGCTCCACACGGTCTTCTCTATCTGCAGCCGCCACTCCCCAAGTGCCGTGTGCTTTGGCGCTTCGCTGTCGCTTAGCAGCGCGTTCACCCACTGCGGCGCGAGTGGGTGGCCCACGAACTCCCGTGCCGCCTCGCCACGCTTCACAGCCTCGCGGGTGCACGCCGTTGTCTCCTCCGCGTCAAAGATGTGTGCCACCTCAGTGGAAGGGGTCATAGAGAGCGCATTTAGGATGTGGCACAGTGTGCCACGCAGAAGCCAGTAGAGCGACTCTGACTGACAGCCGCGGGTGCTGATCGCTCCATCTGCGGCATCGCACAGCTTGAGCAGCCGCGGTCGTACAATGGTGTCGAGTGCTTCACGCGCGCGAAGACATGCTGCTGCTGCCTCGCCATGGCTGCTCGGGCGCTGACAGTGCGTGGGAGGTGGTGGCAGCTCCTTCAGTTCCACAAGCTGCAAGAACACAGTAAAGAGAACTCCTGTCACCATCTGTTCCAGAAGAAGAAGCGTTCGTTCATCCTTAACCTCCATTCCACTGCTCGTTCGTAGCGAAGACTCTACAAGGAGCCACATATCGTAGGCGTCGCAATCGTCCGGAAACTCCTTGCTGGAAGATAGCGCAGCGTCTGTATCTGTCTTTGTTGCTGCTGCTGCTGCTGCTGCGTTTGACACTGTTGTAGTGGCGAAGTCCCGGAGAAGCTTTCTCGCCTTGCTGACGCCATGCTGGTCACAGAACGACAGCACCGCAGCGTGAAGGAGAACCACGTAGACATTGTCTGGCTGCAGGCACCGCAGCGCCGCTAGGAGGTGGACGCAAACGTCAAGCCCATGCAGTGCCAGTGCTCCAATAGCCGCGGAGGCTTTGGCGTGGTGCTCCTTTTCGTCGTCCAACATGGGGTCCGCGGTATGTCCCCCAGGTGCTGCGGAGGATACCGGCGACGACGATAAGGGCGGCGCCACGATGGAGAGCATAAGCCCAATAGCAAGCTGTAGTTGATGCTGTGCAACATGGTAGCCAACGCAGAGCGCTTCGCATGGCCTTGTTGATAAGGCTTCGTGCGGAACGAGCAGCGGGGTGGCGCAGAGATGGGTGGCAGCCACCATATCCATCAGCTGCAGCAGACGCAGAGACACCCAGCAACCCTGAATTAGTCCTTGCGCAGTGCACAAGGAACAGCCCGTCGTGAGTGATTCCACTGTGCCAATAACAGCGTGTGGGTCACCATGTGCCCCGGCGCCACCATCAACAGATGTGCTGTTATGCCGAGTCTGTGGCTCCGTGTAGTGCTCCGATGTTGTTGCTGTTGTTGTTTCTACTACTTTTGTCGGCCCATTGACAGCCATCATAAGGGAGTCATGTAGTCGGGATCGGAAGGACGGCGCGGACACATGTGATGTGCGCTTGTTGCCGTCACGCCGCGGGCAACTCTGGGCGTGACGCGGAATACGCATGTGATAGTGCCCACGGGCCCGTAACGCTGCAAGAAGCGCGTCCTCCTCCGCCTCGCTCATGGCATGCCACACCTTCCCAGGCACCCCTGCCACTACGGCTGCGTGATTACTGCTGCTGCTGCTGCTGCTATTTTTGTTATCACTGCTGCTGCTGTTGTTGTTGTTACCATACGTAGCAAGAGCGCTCAGACCTCCTTTGTGGTCGGCGCAGGACACTGAAGGTGAAGCCCGCTTTACTGCTGTTTTGCTCCACCCACCGTACAACCGTGACTCCTTTTCCATCACCACCACGCTCGACTCGCGCCCCGCTGCGTCGTGCAGGAGCTCCCACAGGGCCCAGCGTACTTGCTGCTGATGATGCGGAAGGAAACTTTGGCCTTGATTGGACTCAACAAACCGTGCCAGCTCCACGCTCTGCTGGAGCAAAGCTTCGAGCGGTGCGTCAATGCGGTTGTAGCATGCCCAGAGGAAGTGCACAAACCGCACCATGAGAGAGGGTGCTACAGCGGCAGCAGCATCATCGGTGACGGTCGTCGGCTGCTGCTGTTGCTGCTGGGGGTGGTATTCTTCCGCGTCGACCTCTACGGACATACCAATCCCATGGGCCAGTGAACACTCTACTGACATGATGCCGAGATGAATAAAAAGAGAACAATTCCAGAGTGGAAGAGCAACGCACACATACAGACAGAGAGGGTGTGTGAGAGAGAGAGGTGTGTGTGGGAGAGGNAAAAAAAAAAATCCCTACCACTGCCAAAATCAACAGCAATTTGATTCACAGAGGGACAACAGCACGATTTGGTGAACAAAAGATTAGTGGCATGAAATATGACCCAGCACTTCCGCATTTCTTCCTTCAACGCAACCCAGTCTTGTCCGCCGTTTTTCCTCACAACACATATACGCCTTCAGCGACCAGCGGGGGCAACCAGCTACAGGAGATCTCACAGAAACAGAGCGATCACCCTGTCTTCTTAATCCTTTACTCCCTATTCAGCGTCGTATCACTCGCTTTGTTTCACCACAGGGGGAAGTGGAAAGGCTCAAGAAGAGGGCAACACCACACAACCAGGCATATACATATATACGTTAGCAAATGCAGCAGCAAAACCTACCAAGATGGGGACTGCGGCACATTTTTGGGAGAAAAAACCTAACTGTTATCGCCATTTACATGCTACATCATTGTTCGACTTCGCCCCTTTTCGATGAAATATGAAAACGAAGCATGACNCCAGGCATATACATATATACGTTAGCAAATGCAGCAGCAAAACCTACCAAGATGGGGACTGCGGCACATTTTTGCGAGAAAAAACCTAACTGTTATCGCCATTTACATGCTACATCATTGTTCGACTTCGCCCCTTTTCGATGAAATATGAAAACGAAGCATGACACCACCAGATTATCAAGAAACACACACACACACACACACACACGTATGTGATTTTGCATCATGAGGAGCGTAATGTGTATTCCCCGTTAGGGAGGCCGCGGCGCATATGTGCGCCGCAGTTGATGAACATAAAGTGGAACAGGCGTCTCCACGGAGAATATCTTCACGAAGGGGCTCTGGATCATCCACCCCCAGTCGCCACAGAGGCGGTCGTCCAGTAGCGGTTTCGGCATGGCGTTCGCAGCAACAGTAGCAGTAGCAGTAGTAGTAGTAGTGGCAATGCTGTCTTGATCAGCCGCATTCTCTTCCTCCTCCCTCTTTTCACTATGCCCTACCTCTTCGGCGTGGAGACGCCGCAATGTGGCGTCAGGCTCCGCGAGGAAGGCACGCAGCGCCGCCTCGTTGGTTGAAGCACGTACCCTCACCCAGGCTTGCGGCGAAGGTGCATTCGAGGCAGCAACAGCAGCATCACCACCAACAGTACTGGTGGTGGAACCCAAACGCCGTTGTACCCTCAGTGGGGGAAAGACGTGCACGACAAGTTCCGCGCCTCCCTTCACCAGTTGGCATGGGAGGGGCGTCGTCGCAGCTGCGTTGACGTTACTCGTAATTCTGCTGTTGCCGCATGGTGTGTGAACGGCGGGACGGATAACGATGGTGTTGTCCGCCCTGAAGGTGATCGGATGTGTGGCTCCAGTGTCGCGAAAGCAGACGAACCATGTGGCCTCCAGGAGAACCTGCATTGTTAGCTTCTCACGCCGTGCACTTCGGAGTGACATGTAGTAGGCAAACTTCCACGAGACTGATAACCCATTTTTATCACCATCCTCATCTTCCTCCTTTACTGACCCTTGCAGCGCCTTTTGCTGGGCGTACTGCATAAGACTCAGCGAGTGTGTCATCACCATGTCTTCCTCGAACTCCCGGTAGGGGTTGATGCGAGGCTTCGCATCCAACGCGCTCGAATCATTATCATCATCATCATCATAATCCCCCTCATCATCTTCATCATCGTCATTATCGAGGTTACCCTCTGAGGCGACGGCTTCGGACGGGTGTAACGGATCCTGCTGCTCCATCGGCGTCTCTGCTGCCTGAAGGGCGACCGGCAGGATGATGGCAAGCGGATGGGCACTGCTGGTGCTATTTCGGCTGTTGTCTGGGGCTCTCCAGAGGCAAGGGAACGCGTGCTCCGTGGCTCTGTGACTGGACTCCGTGACAGCTGTGCTGTTTGTCTCCCCTTCTTCCCCTTCCTCCTCTTCCTCATCGTCGTGCATTTGGGGANACTGGACTCCGTGACAGCTGTGCTGTTTGTCTCCCCTTCTTCCCCTTCCTCCTCTTCCTCATCGTCGTGCATTTGGGGACTCATCCCATCACCTCGTTGCTGCTGCTGTTGCCGCCGCCGGCGCTCTTCCTGCTGCTGACGTCGTAGACAATGCTGGCGCTGCTCTTGCCCCATCTGCCACCAATACAGTCCATTATTGCGGTCGACGTGCCCACCCAAAGCCACGTTAGGCAATGCTGCCAACACGCCACGCTGCGGCGGAGTGAGGAACGATGCGTGCAACAATGGTGAGGTTGTTGTGTTCATAATAGCATCGTACGTCGGTGTACTTTGCAGAACCGCGGGACCCCACAACTGCTGCTCACTTCGAGGAGGCGCCGAGGCACTTTCGCTGCCGCACGTGGTGGCGGCAGCTGAGGTCTGCCTGCTTCTGCCAACATACCCTCCCCGCTGCACTGTCGGCAGCAACTGCAGCTGCAGCTGCTGATGTGCTTCACGCGAGTGCATTCCCACAGGNCCCTCCCCGCTGCACTGTCGGCAGCAACTGCAGCTGCAGCTGCTGATGTGCTTCACGCGAGTGCATTCCCACAGGTGTGCCAATGACGGGGCAATCGTTCTCTGCGGCCAGCTCTGAGGCAAGTGAGTCGGTCCCTGCCACAGTGCCACGGAAGAGCCAGTCGCTTACTTCGGAAACGGCGGTAACGGCCGCATCGCCAAGGTGCATCTCCCTCAACATGCGCTGTTGCAGGGAAATAACCTCCAGTTCTTCCAATCGACACGCTTCTTCCGTGTCGTCCCACGTTTTTGCAATACGCGCGAAGCCCTGCTTGCAGCGCCACATCGAAAGACAGCGGGCCTTCCACGCGGTGCGGTCAGACTCCACAGCGGCGCGATAAAAAATTCGGCACACACCAAGCACAGTGCACAGGTCACCTACTGGAAGGAACGTGAAAACAAGGTCAAGAGATGCAAGCGGCAGCTCGGTGACACGGTTGTGGTACCGATTCCCAAGTGATGTGACGCGCTGCTGTTGCTGCGTGTCGCCACGCGCTACTTGCGCCGCCCTACTGTTGGGCCATACTGTGTGTAGTGTTACAGGCTTNGGCGTGTCGCCACGCGCTACTTGCGCCGCCCTACTGTTGGGCCATACTGTGTGTAGTGTTACAGGCTTGGAGGTGCGGCCACACGCGGGGGTAACGAGAACGCCACTGCTGGTGTTCTTGTCACGTTCCCCTATGCACCTCCTGCCCGGATTACCATCTGTTGAGGACGCCTCCGCCGTCACGGCGACGGTTGCGCCGTCTGTGGACGAAGACGCGTCCACGCCTTCCATGACGCTGTTGCCGCGGCGGGATGCGTTGCTACGCCGTTATACTTTACTGCTGTAGTGCCTCCTGTTCCTCTGCCTTCTATTTCAGCCAAACACACTTTTTTGTTTTGTTTT